AAAAAAAAAAAAAAAAAAGATACAGGCCAACACACACTCCCTGTGCTAGGCTTTATTGACCCCATAGGAGTGACACAACATGCCACACAGAGAGCCATACACACTCATTTATGTGTGTTTCCCCCAACCTTAATATAAACTCCAAGAGAGTCAGCATTTTGTTTTTGGAAAGAGATTTTTGCTCTAGGGTGCATGCACTCATGAGAGAGACAGGACGTGAAAAATGACCCCCAGGGAGGATGGCCACACCGCAATCCCTTCTCCTCTTAGGGTTTTCAGCACACATGCACACGCACATGCACCCCGTGGGAGTTTCAAGCTGTTGGGTCCGGGACTCGAACACCAGTCTGCCACATGAGAGTCCAGTGCTTTAATCACTATGCCATCTGCTGGCCCCGAGAGTATGGATTTTTGTATAGTTTACCGAGTAATCCCCAGAGCTACAGCAAGGCCTGGCACCTTGCAGGTCTCAGTAAGTTTCACTGAATTTATGAATGAACTCAGAAGACACTACATTGAGAGGATAACAAGCAATACCTTCCCCGAGGTTCCAAATCTGAGGAGACCTGAACCAATAAAAATGTCTTGCCCATAGACTATGATCACAGATGAATAAAAATGAAGAAAAAAAAAGGAGTCACCATCCCCACTATTAAACACCTCATCTATGTGGGGCTCCCCCATCCTCTTCCCTTGGTAACAGATTTCACAGCAAGAACTTCCATGTGTTGAGGGCTGAAAATATGCCCTCACACAACATATGTGCCCACAAACCTGCTAGGCATTGTTCTAAGTGCTTTCACGTTTTAAATAATTTATTCTTCCTAAGGGCCAACTTGCAAAATGCAGAGTATGTTCCTGCCTCAGGGCTTTGCACCTACTGTTCCCTCTTCCTGGAATGCTTTTCCCCACCTATCCTTAGGGTTTGCTCCCCCCTTCTCTTAGTACCACCAATCTCTCTCTTCACTAACTGATGGCATATGCTTTCACGTTTTTCCTTTGTTTGATTGACTTCTCTGCTAAAATGTAAGCTTCAAGGGGAGAGGCGATTTTGTCCGTCTTAGAACAGTTCAGTGTACAGCTGGGGAAATTGAGGGACTGGCTCATCAAGGCTCTGGGGCTCTTAGAATAGGCGCTCAGTAAGTGTCAAATAAGTAAACGTCCCACTCTGAGATGCAGGTACTGCTCTGATGTCCATTTTACAATGGCGAACACTGAGACACACGAAGATTAAGTCATTGAGTCGCACACCTATTGAGTGGTGGAGGCGAGTCCTCGGTACACGTCCAATGATTGCAACAATTAAAATTACTAACCGCTTACTCTGTGCCAGGCTAAGTACTTTACCCTGAGTCATCTATTCAATTCTAGCCATAACCCGCGAGGTCGGCATTGTTGCGACTCCACTTCACAGACAAGGCAGGCAGCGCCCGGGCTCGCCCAGAGAAGCAGAGGCGGGGCTGGGATTCGAACCCAGGCAGCTGACACGCCCTCCACGCTCCCGGAGGCCTTGATCCAGTCGCCTTCCTGTCGTGGCCCGCACCTCCTCCCCAAGGGGCCCGGCTCTCCCCCCCAGGCCGGGATCGGGGTCGGGAGCCCACAGCTCAGCCACCATCTCCGTGTGCAAAAACTCGAACAGCACTGCATCCGCCATTCGCCCTCCTCGCGCGTCCACCTACAGCCCAGCGCTTCCTGCTCTCATTGGCCGGACTGGGCAAGCCCCGCCCCCTGCGTCTCAGGAGGAGCCCTCCTCCCCGAACTTCCATTGGCTGTTTAGCCTAGCCCTGCCTTCCCGGCCCCCGGCTCCCGCGGCGAGCGCGTGAGCGTGAGAGACTAGCGGGAGGGACTATGCCTCTCTCATTGGCCACACGTGACAATATCTTCCGCCCTTAAGTCGTTCCCTGTTTCCACTGGCCAGTCATTGGTTACACATTGGTTACTCATTTTTTAAAACCCTATTCGTCCTCTGCAGACTTTCCTTGCAGCACAACCCGGAAGCGCCCGCCCAGCCTCGGTCCGATTGGCGGTACTCAGTTCACGTGACTCCTCTGCATCCACGCCCTCAAAGGCGGTGCTGAGAACTTGCTTCTTTGTTGGTAGAGGAGCGGCCTCACGTGATTGGCAGCCAACGCTAACCCACCGGCTCCGCTATTGGTTAGCACCGCAGCCTTCCACCTCCCACCCGGAAGACGCAGCGCTGGGGCTAGGGAGCTGATCCCGCGGGCTCGGAGCTTCAGTGACCCGGTACGGTCTTCTGCGGTGGCGCTCCCGCGCCCGCTATCCTTCCCGAGGTCCAGCTGGGCCGTTGCCGTTTCTAGGACTCCGGCACTGATCCCTGAGCAGCTCAGGAGCCTGTCTGCTTCCAGCTCTGAGACAGGCCGCGAGGACCGAGGGGAGGGCGTGGCCTTTGCTAGCAGGCAAATTCCGAAAGAACTCTGTTTGGGACTCCGGGAACTCGGGCCCCAGAACCCTGATCGAGCTGGTCCTCAGTTTCCCCATCTGAATGCTGAAAAGGCTGGGGTCCAGTAGCCCCTCATCATCACCTAGTGTAGAGAGGAGGAAACGGTCCAGACCCGGGAGGTCCCAAATCGCTAAGGGAGTCAGCGGAGGGCTGGGGATCCCGGACCCGCGGGCGCCTTCTCATGCGGTCCCTTCGCTCCTCTTCTCCCTAGCTTGGCACCATGGCGTCCCAGGGTCGTCGGCGGAGGCCTCTGAGGAAGCCGGAGACGGTGGTGCCAGGGGAGGCGGCCGAGACGGACTCGGAGCTCTCTGCGTCCTCATCGGAGGAGGAGCTGTACCTGGGGCCCTCGGGCCCGACGCGCGGTCGTCCCACCGGGCTGCGGGTGGCCGGGGAGGCCGTGGAGACCGACTCGGACCCGGAACCGGAGCCGACGGCCGCGCCGGGAGACCTGGCCCCGCTGGGGGCGCAGGGAGGAACCCA